TACAAGGCTACTGTGAGGGCCGTTCTATTCTATGGGATGGAGACTTGGCCCCTCCGATCTGAGGACCTGCGGCGCCTTCAATTCTTCGATCGTTGCTGGTGTCGGGTGGCGCCAGCGTGTCCGCAACGATTATGTGCGTAGGCGAGTGCTAGACGGTGGTAATCATGCTACTTCTTTAGAACAACAGAGCAGTGAATAATTTGCGTTGGCTTTGGCATGTACGTATGCTAGGTGACTGCTTACCGAGGAGGGCCTTGTTCTGTTTACCAGATGTCGGGTTCACAAAGCTCGACGTAGACATAAGTTGACTTGCCAGCGAGGAATGAAATCACTGGCGACCAAACTTGGTGCCGTCGGTCCGTGTCGGCATCCAGACTCCACGTGACTCGATTTGTTCTTGGCCCAAAACCTTTCAGAACATGGCTCGCAGTCGGAACCAGTGGCACATCTGTTGCCGTCTCCTCGTCGGACTGCTTCTTTAACGTGTATTTCGTACTGAGTCATCCTTGGGGTAATGGTTGATTATGACGCGGGGCAATGAAAGCCGCAAGAAGGCTGTCTCGCTGGTGTCGTCTTTTCTTTGCACCATGGCATGTTGTTGACAAGTTGTAGGCGCGTTAACCCTGAATGTTTGTTTAGGATATTAAGATTTTCCGGTAACTCTTCCTTCACTCTTTCTTATTATTCTTCGTTCCGTAGGTCATTATGGTTGTACGGAAACGAAGCATCATTTCAAATGGCTGCTGTACTGCTGTTGATGATAGTGATGATGCATAAGGACACTGAGTTTACCGCTTTTACCGAGAAACGAACGCACATTACTGGAAAGTGTTAATGAGATTTACGCTTTATTGATAGAACAACCACTGAAGCCGTATTGCCAATCAGCACGATGCTCTCGCTTGTTTCTAAAACCTTTGTTCAAAATTTTTAATGATGTTCCTGACTTCGTGACCATATTCGATGGAGCACAGATTTCGGGCAGTAACAAGTAACGTTATTAACACATTGAAGAAGTAGGAATTAATCTATCCTGTTACTAATTAAGAAGAACAATAACGTTTCAGACACTAATCATACGTGAAATCCGCATTCAACAGTGCAAAAGAGTATTACAACAAAAGCAACGGCCGAATTTAAAGGCCCCGCCTAGATAGATTTCCTGACGCACACCACTTCTCGCAGAAAGTAAGTAGCAAAGACTGTTTCTCACAAGCTTTAAAGATAAAGAACGTCGAAAACAAATGATAAGTCAGGAAGACGACGATACCAGGTTGTCTGTGTATATAGTAAGGTTCTAGCACTGAACAAATTGTAACCATGGTCTGCGCACTGCCGAAACGGAATCCGGCCTGATGTTCACTAATTCCACTTTTCCGGAGACCATTGACTCAACTGAGGGCCATGCACATAAATGCCTGGAAGGTGATATTTCTATCTTTCCTCAAACACTCTTTGACGTTTTCTTACTTAATGGGGACGATTGTGGAGAAGTTTCAGTTTAGAGGCACAACACGATGCGACACCGTCCTCCAGTAAGGGAGGTCATTAGGATCACCGCCAGTTCATGTTAGATTTCATTAAAAGTAGAAACGATAACTTGACGTTCCAAGTGAGTTCAACAAACACAGGAGACAGCGTCAATTGCAGAAGTGCCGGTGACTCCGAGAGCTGATCATATGTCCATTTTTCTGTGCTTGGGGACTACGACTGACCTGTTCCTTAAACAAATTGAAACAGCTTTCAACTATTTTCTGCGACATTGGCCTTTGCCATTCACTAACACTCTTGCTGACAAGGTTTAGGCGCTTTGACCCCACATGTTTGCTTGTGGCATTTAGGTTCCATACTATGCCCCCTACTCATCTTCATAACATTTTACTCTTTAGATCACTGTTGCCATACATCATACAGCATCAGAGTAAAAGGCTGATGAAGTGCTGTTGAGGATGGTTTAGGCCTCTGCCTTGCAGTCCACAGGCCACTGATTCGAATCTGCGATAGTCCCATTAACCTCGCGATACCAATACTCGCACTCGACCATCGGCGGTCGCGTGGCAGCGAACCGGCGATACGAGATACGCGATCTGCACGCGTTAAGCTCAAAATATAGCAAATTAGAGGCGTTCACAATTGATAGTCGGCCAATTCTTCATTCATCAGCCACAGCTGTTTAACTAACTGTCTGATAGCACTAACTTTTGGATTGCAGACGCAGGTGATTTTAAGTAATTTCGGATTTGGACGTTTCATCGAGGATAGAAGTGACAGTCTAACTAGCATTAAAACATGACTGCACTCCAGACAGATATTGCATCTATATCGACAAACTTTCGTTTACGCATGTCGGACGTACAAGAGATCACATTATTCAACGGGGGGCAATTAAACGCGGTGCCAATGTTTGCTCTGTGAGGCTGTGCTGTTGCTAAGCTGGTTGTGCTCGACATAAAGGTAGGGGAATGATACGGCTTTATTACTCTCGGTATAAAGAGCTTTTATTCCGTAGTCACTGAATGTGCCGATGAAGGACCCGCTATGAATTGCTACCGTTGGTATCGATTGCGAAGTCAATGGCAACCTGCTGTTGGTTGACCTGCGTTAACGAGGTTTGAGGGGGAGTAGAGATACAAAATGAACAGATAGCATTAGCCCTTTGCCTTTTCGCACATAGTATGCTTTTCGGTTGCTTATTTCGAGTAGCTCAGTCCGGGGTCACGTACTTCTAGCGCTTGATCCAACAGTCTGATTCACCATGCAGTGGGTAACAGATCCAGTCTGGCAGTGTGATTGCCCGATCTCTCGATGACCTGTTTGAGACTAGCCACACTCAACTTTGGGAGATGCTGATCTATTGTTTTTTTACAAATTTCATAACTTAGGCACTTGCAACCACCACCAAATGTAGGTGCGTTTTGACCATGGGCTACCTGACTTGAGGTTAATCGTAACCAATCAGTGAACAACGGCTGACCTGTCACACTGTCATTGATAACCCATGGCAATCCAGCTGAGGTTATAAACTGCGCGCTGTTACCTCTTATGGCAAGGTGTCAAAGAAAATAACCGTGTACCTCTCCTTTGCCTCGAAGAAGCGGACGCGGAGACTGGGTCCGTCTGACTCTGTTTGGTGTGAACAGCTCCGAAGCTATTTGAAAAATGCCACTTGAAATAGGTTACTACATCATGGCATACAAACTATCGCGACGATTTGCAATGATGACAGTAATAGGCTTCGAAATACTGGTAGCTCGGGTTGATGAATCCATTGTTCATTTGTTCTCCGAGCTTGGCGGTTTTGTCGCAAACGTTTCACCACCATGCGAGGTGGCATCCTCAGTGCAGTGATATGTGGCGTGCAAGCTTACTAAATGAATCCTCCATCCATCATCGACCTGCAGGTGATTTTGAACGTTGCAATGTCGATTTAGGTCCCGTGACCTCTACCCACTTTCCCCAAGTCTAAAGTCGGCGCCCGAGTTGTTCTGCCTCAAACCGCGTGACTAAAGGTTCTTTATTTCTTTCTGCCTATGGATTGCAATATTCGATAACCAATGCCCAGCAGTTTCTGCAAAAGATCAAAGACCTGCGATTAGATAATGATGAAACAATGATATCATTCGACGTGACTGCAGTCTTCACGTCTGTCAACTTGCAGACAGCAATAGCGGTCATCACGGAACGGCTGAAGATCAGTGAACAACAAATCGGTAAAATGACGACCGAAAATGTATGTAAACTACTCCGCTTGTGTCTGTCGACCCACTTCTCATTCACTGGAAAGATTTATGAGCAATTGAAAGGCGCATCAATGGGATCACCTGTGTCAGGGCTCATCGCAGAGATGGTTATGCAGAAATTGGAGGAGGAGGTAATACTACTCATCAATTCGAAACTGTGGGTTCGGTATGTGGACGACACTTTTGTGGTAATCAGACGCAACCAAATAACAGTCGCACAACAGCTATTGAATAACGCCATGGAAGGCATCCAATTTACAATGGAACCGGAGAAGGAAAGCCAGCTCCCGTTCTTGGACGTATTAGTAACAAGGACCATGGAAGCCGAGCTGCAAACATCGGTCTACAGAAAAGGCACACACACTGACCAAATTCTAAAATTTAACAGCAACCACCTGAAATGCCACAAAGTAAGCTGTGTGCAGACGCTGTTTCGCAGAGTGCAAACACACTGCAGTACCACAGAAGCAAAGCGAAAGGAAGAAAAACACCTACTTAAATGTTTCCAACTCAACGGATACCCACGAAGCTTCATCCGAAGATGTCTGAATCACAACAACGTCAACATACAGCCTACAACAACAACAGCAGTAACAACTAAGACAACGGGGAAACGGGTTGTTCTGCCTTACATGAAGAACATATCGGAAATGGCAGTCAGACTACTCAAAAAGCATCATCTCATCGTAGCACACAAACTAACTTCCGCGTTAAGAAAAACCCCTTCAAAACCAAAATAAAAACTGCAGGCGCATGACCAACGCAATGTGGTATACAAAATACCTTGCCGAGATTGCGGAAGGGATTACGTTGGCCAGACGGGAAGAAAACTGGTAACAAGGATACAAGAACATAAGAGAGCCTGTGTAAAGCATTATGCATCGTCGCTAGTTTCAATGCATGTAGATGAAGGACATAGCTTCGACTGGAGCACAGCAGAAGTCCTGGCACGGGGTGAAACAAGAAAAGAAAGAGAATTCTTGGAAGCTTGGTTCTCAACGAAACACTCGATCAGCATGCGCGTGGACATCGATTCAATATACGAACCACTACGGCAGAAAGAAATAAAGAACCTTAAGTCACGCGGTTTGAGGCAGAACAACTCGGGCGCCGACTTTAGCCTTGGGGAAGTGGGTAGAGGTCACGGGACCTAAATCGACACTGCAACGTTCAAAATCACCTGCAGGTCGATGATGGATGGAGGATTCACTTAGTAAGCTTGCACACCACATATCACTGCACTGAGGATACCACCTCGCATGGTGGTGAAACGTTTGTGACAGAACCGCCAAGCTCGGAGAACAAATGAACAATTTACAGTAATAGGCTCTCGAATTACTAAGCGCGTGCCAGCTGGAGTAGATCAATAGATCATAGGAGTGTGCCGCTAATCGTGCCATGTTGAACTACGGTCTCATCGCCATTGTTATTTCCAAAGTGAACCGGGGACCACTGTTTGAGATGGGCACATTCTGTATAACGTGCTATTTGAAGATTTCACGAATGGCTTAACAGCCATCAATTTTAACTAAACAGGGCCTCCGTCATAGAGAAAAAGCTACGACACCTCGTCCATCAAGGCATCAGCAGTACGCCGTGCAATCACCTCTGATCGCACGTGGGCTAAGGATACTGCGAGGGTCGCCCTGTCCGGCAGGCTCGAGCACGTGCCGTCAGACTACAACATCAACTCGTCACCTTTAGGCTACCGGCCGGCACTTCGTCCATCGAACCATGGAAACCCAAGCAGTCCCGTGACTTTTGTGATGATTAATACCAAGTAAGCTTGCTTACTCGTAGATGACAGCTTGTATTTCACTGATTCCCGAATGTCCACGAGGAAACTGGTGACAGACCAATGAATACCGGCGACATGATGCGTTTACGAATCTACCGCTGCCAACCACCCTGGCGGCAGAAACTCTTGAGTCGTTCTGACCATCGTGTCAGAAGCCAGCTGTGGCTTCTTCAGAATCGTGTCACAGACAATCCCGTGTTGGATATGGGCAGTGGTAACTGAGTTTATGACATTCAGATCTTTCAATGTATGTCGCAGCGATCATCCTGGTGTCGTGAACTTTGCGATTCTTTTTAGCAGAATTAAAGTGAGTTCGAATGCTTTGCTGCAGATCGCACACTTAACACTTCCATATGGTAATTTTATGTCCGTCTCCATTTTCGTGTGCAGGATATTAACTGGACTCCTTCTAAAGTGATCGACGTTTTGGGTAAAGAAATCAACAGCCCGGAATCCATATACTACTGGTGCCACGTAGTAAGTTGCTGGTTTGCTACTACTCAGCATGCAAAGTTCAAATATGATGCGTCTTATTGCAATACTACATTTCATCGTATTTTGTCTACAACCCGATGTATTCAAATGCAATTGTTAACAATGATTGAAAGATTAATGTCTGTTTAAACGTACCATTGGTACAAGACAAACTTTAGCATGGCGAAATGCCAAGTATTTGATCTACAGAAAGCTATCAAAGTGCGAATGGGACATGGGATTCACTTAGTAATTAAATTTTAGCACTCACCTAGTCAACGAATGCACGCCACAAATATAATCATGCTGCTGTATGAATCTCCAGGTATTATTAGAACCGAGCATTCGAAGTTGACCTTTACAATTAACTTGTTTTGCAGAATAAGATCCCAGTCTTCTGTCCGGCTCTGACCGACGGTTCCCTGGGGGACATTTTATTCAGCCACGCCTATCGATCTCCTGGTTTGCGAATCGATGTTGTTGAAGATATTTGTCGTATCAACCGGATCGCGATCTACTCAGAGTGCTCCGGCGTTATCATCTTAGGTGGTGGCATAGTGAAGCACCACACGCTAAATGCGAACTTGATGCGCAACGGAGCCGAATATTGCGTGCTAATCAACACAGGTCAAGAATATGATGGAAGCGACTCCGGTGCTCGTCCAGATGAGGCCATTAGCTGGGGCAAACTGAGGTGCGCCTTGGATCCTGTCAAGGTGACTGCTGATGCCTCTATTGTGTTCCCCCTTCTGGTTGCATGTACATTTGCAAAGCGTCAATCCTCAAAAACAGCTTCCACTGCTGTCATATCTTCCTGATATGTCACTTTTACAATGTGTATGATACCACTTGTATATTAGTGTTTATTCCAATTCATTCGACAAGCAGTTGTATGAGAGATTGTCTCACCTAATTGCTTTCAGGGACGAGCGACCTTTTCTCGAGATGTGTTGGGAGTAACAGAAAAAAGGCTAATGGAACAGACCAGACAAAGGATAAATGTTTCCGGAATCCGAGCGTTAATCACTTGGGAATAAAGTAGGTAGCCCTGAGGTCATTTTCCGAGCTTGCAAGATTGTACTCTGAGAGGTGCGACATGATGGGGCTCCATCTTTGTAAAACCACTTCGGAATGTGCTCGCGAATCCTAGGAGATAGATGCCTCATAGTACGACTCATGTATTATGCACAACAGGAGCACGAGAACTGACTGACAAACAAGCATTGATCTAGTAATCAGATGCGAGCCGAGAAAAAAGTTTTCTCAACAGCGTCTTTCAGGCGTTCGGACGAATCACCAACCACACTATTGCCTTTAGAAAGAAAGTGCACATGAATTTCTTTCTTGAGTGCATTCATCCTCTGCGGTTCTCTTGTGTTTTTTTCAGATAAATTTACCCGGGTAACTTCATCCCCAAATACCTGAGAGAGCGCAAGAAAAGATCACAGAGGACGAGTGTACCCAAGTAATTCTTGTGCACTTTCTTTTTAAAAGCGACAGTGTGGCTGGTCCTCGTTCAAACGCTTGGAATTTCCTGTTGGGAATATCATTTTCGCGACTCGCCAGCAATCCTTTGCTCGCATAGCCTTTGGAAGATGGACTGTCTTCATTGACTAGATCAATGCTTGTTTTTCAATACTCGTGCTCCTGTGGTGTACAATAAGTGAGTCGTACTACGAGGCGCCTATCTAACAAGATTCGCGAACACATTCAGAAGTGGTTTTACAGAGGTGAAGCGAGGTCTTCTAACAGCTGCATCATGTCGCACCTCTTAGAGTACGACTTCAGATTTATACAACCATCTAACGTAAGGAAACACCCGGTGGATTCCACACGGCTCGGTAAGAGGAAGCCCACAATGTCTACGTATAAGTTGCGCTAGACCATTTGTCGGTTCTTCGCGCCTCTTGTTCACCGAGGGGGGTTAATAACACACCTTTTACGGCCTGGGCCACGGATCGTACAGTAGCAGTCAATAACCGATTCGCTTTAAACGCATGATGATGAATCCGGTTTTTGTTGTCTTTTGCTATTTGTAGGCGTTACATATGAAGGCATGACATTTCATAGGAAAGGAATACTTTTTCTCACCACTGACCTCCTTCGGGGGAAAGTTTAACATGCCCGCCGTTATGATATTTTTTGACTCGTATCTGTTTTCAGTTTTCATTGGAATTAAAAGCGAACTGAAGAAGGTTTGACTTAGACCATAGTTCTCGATACATGGAATAAATGAAGCTTTTCACCAACCCCTGAGTAAACAAAAGCTCAAAGTTGGACTTGGATTGCGGTGCTCAGAAGCCGGAGGTTGTCACAAGAAATCATTGTTGGCAGACATGATTCCGACAATGCTGTACGGGATTTGCTTAAGAAACATCCACATATGGGACGGAAGCACTGACGTTACAAATTAGGGACATGAGGATTGGGGTGAAAATCAAAAGAAGTCCTCCTCCACGGCAACAATGATTGATACAAGTAGATGCTGATTGAACACATCCAAAGACTGTCGATGCTGCTGGATCACTGACCTGAGCGGACAACAAACTCTGCGACAGGAGCGCGTAGATAATTGTATTAAAACGTCTGTCGGCGTCCGCGCATGAATATCTCAGTAAAAGCAAAGTGAGGAAGGAGTACTGAGCGGCATGTCGGCGGCCACTCTTCAACAGCGCTACAGCAACGTGCAGCACTTGTTTGTCTTTTTGGCCTAAAATAACAGAGTGAATCACTGGTGTTCATTATTGCTATACCAACGTCAGCTGGTTAATTAGTAGCTGTAGAAAATAGTGGAATATACTAAATGGGGTTTATTCAGCCGCAGTGTACACAACGCACCGCAATGCATAAAGATATATGGAAGAAGCAAGGTACTATATACATAAACACAAAACAAAAACTAATCATATAACGCCTAATCGCACCGCGAATGGAACCCGAACTAATAATAGTGACGAAATGCTTTGCGCACGATAAGGCACAACCCGCTGTTCTCATTGTTGTACCGTGGACTTGTTCTGGACGCCTTCCAGTGGCGACCGCTTGGTGGGAGTTGGGTTGCACCATTCTTTTAGCTAAGAGCCAGAACACAATGACTGAGGCGTTCCCACCTCTAGCTAACGTGTATACTGAATGAATGATACACAATTCCGCGTGAGTCAGTTCCACTGACGGCGCACGGCCCGCTGCCTTTCAAGTGTACATTTTATCAAACACTTTGGCTGAGGACCCGAGTCGTTCTTCTGTCATGCGTGGACACCTTGGCAGTATCGTTGTCCAACTTCCAACCGTGAATCACGCTAATTATAATAACTACATGCTGCATACAGCAAGGAGGATCAACGAAAACTCGCAAATGCTGACTCCTCCCTTTTTTTCTTCCCCTGCATTATAATCTCCCTGTCCCTATTTCAACCAACCCCCTACTTCCGAGCGATTGTCTACCACCGAAATCGTATCCTTTCGCGCGAAGTACACAACATCGGGTGTTGGAACGTGCGAACACTACTCGACCGGCACACGAGTAGCAGCGCGATGGAACGCATGCCGCTCGGCTCGCTGACCAAGGCAATCTGCATGAGATTGGTGCTGGTTACACGTTATACTGAGCGGGGAACGCCACCTCAGCACCATGTGAACATGGAGTCGGATTTGCACTATCCGACCGCCTATATGGCTAGTTGGTGGCAGAGCCGACTGGCATCAGTCCACGTTTGATGACAGTTAGACTGCAACTTGGAAGAGATAAATTTACCGATTTTATTAGCACGTATGATCCTGCCATATGTTATCCTGATAACACAAGGGATCAGTTTTACGCTCTTATTCTCCGTGATACGATCTGTGCCGAATAGCGATTGACTATTCTTACTGGGTGATTTCAGTGCGCGCATTGGGCGTGATGCTGCAGTGTGGACAGATGTCATCGGTACACATGCCTTCGGCACAGCCAATGCGAACGGAGACCGGCTGCTTTCACTGTGCGCCACTCCTGGCCGGACGATCACACAGTTTGCGAGCGATATAGCAACTTGGACGCACCCACGCAGTGGTCACGCTCATCCGCTCCACTATATCATCGTACACCAGTGTGAAGTGCGTATGACACGTGTAGTGAGCTGAGTGTGGCACTGATCACAGGTTGGTGCGGAACAAACCGTACATGTATTTTCCTAAATCTGTGTATTGCTCATCTGCCGTTACTCGGCGCAAAGTAATGTTCGCTACTTAAGCACTATCGAGAATGTGAAACCGGAGAAGGCGATGGCCATTCGTGTTGGGGATGTCCAGCCTATGGTCCCAGTGAGCGACTTGTGGCACCACGTTCGTGAGCAGGTGACGGCTGCTGCCGATGAAACGATCGGGCGCGAAAACTGTAAGCGGCCCGATTGGTTTGTTGACAACAGTGCGACCACTGACCAGCGAAGAATACAGCGTTCGCTGCAGGTGTGGCGGATCCTGGTAACTGCGAGGACAGTCATTTTCGCGATTGACTCGAGAGCTTCGTCGCATCAGGAATGCACGGTGGACGGAAAAGATGAAGCAGTTTGAATGCTACGCCGCCAACATAATGAATTCTTTGACTCCCTGAAGGCGGTCTATGGACCCACGTTGCAGCCGCTGAGGACGTTGGCGGATGCTGCTTCGGGCGCTGCCTGCATACAGACTGCAAAATAATGCATATCTAGCGAAAGCGCTTTGAATGTCTCTTGAACAATCGTTCAGAGACTGACTGGCCTACGTTGCACAGGCTGCAACAGCAAGAGATAAGATGTCTCCCCGACGCACCGACAGTGGTTCTGACGGAGAGAGCACTTGCTCCGCCGCGAAATGGCAAAGGTGCCGGCTCTGACGCGATCCCGCCTGAAATATTGAAACAGCGGATCCGCGTTGGTAAATGCGCTGCACCAGTTGGTGCAACGCGTGTGGATTGAGGAGGAGGTGTCTCCTGAGTTGAAGGATGTGCTTGTGCTCCCATTGTACAAGGGCAAAGAAAGCAAACAATGTGCAACGAATTACCGTGGTATCAGCTCGCTGAGTTGTGTGGCCAAATCGACTGCCCCCATCCTGTTCAACCGCCTCGTCAATCATGTGATTGAACCGAGCGTGGCGGAAGAGCAGTGCGGACTCCGTATTGGGTGCAGCACTATAGATATGTTGTTCGCGGCTCGTCAGTTGCAGGAGGAATGCAGAAAGCGACACCAGCCATTGTACTCACTTTTTGCTGATTTCACCAAAGCATTCGATACGTTGAACCGCGGGACTCTGTGGCTGGTGTTTGATTGTCCGAATAAGTTTGTAAGTTCATTTGAATGTCTGCATATTGGTATGCGGGTGAATGGACAAACCTCGGATGACTTTGCTGTTGTCTATGGTGTTAAGCAAGGCTGTGTTTTAGCTCCTGTCCTGTTTAATATTTACCTAAATGCTATGACGTTTTGATGCTGCTTGTGACCACAAGGTCCGGGTGGAGCACTGTATTGTTGGTGTGCTTCTAAACATTCGTTGTTTCGGAACTAGAACTATGCTGTGCAAGACAGCCGTCTGTATGTTGCTGTTTCTCGACGACTGTGCATTGTTGGCACACATCGCGGATGAACTGCATCACATGACTTCGGATCTCGCTTCGACAGCGGCCAAATTCGGGCACACAAGCAAGAATGTTTGTCTTTTCCAGCCTTCATTTGACATTGAATCCATGGGCCTGCCCCACGGGTTGCCGATGAGGTGTTGGACACATCGTCAAAATTTCAACCGATCTGCAGATGAGGAGCGAGCTGCGCATCCACGTATCGAAACGGTTGCTGCGTTTGACAAACTGGAGAAACGTGTGTGGAGCAACCGCCAGCTTACCGTTGTAACGAAGCTGCTGGTATACCAGTCTATAGTGCTATCCGTTCTATACAGCAGTGAAGCCTGGATGATGCACCAGGAAGAACGTAAGATATTCACAGCCATTTCCTCAACAGTGTCTGCGACGGATTCTGCGTATCGGTTGGTGCAACAATGTTGCAGACACGGAAGTGTTGCGCATCAGTGGCATGTATGCAGTGGACTGCATACTTCTGCTGCGGCACCTGAGGTGACTGGGGCATATCAGCTGAATAGATTCGACGAGGATACCCGGACAGCTTTCGTACAAGCAACTTAGTGCAGAGAAGCGGTACGTGCATTTGATTTATTAACCCAGGCCAATAAGGCGGTTCATTCATTGTACACGTTAGCTAGAAGTGGAAAGCACCTCATCTATTGTACCGCAATACATAAAATAGAGAAAAATGCAACAGAGGTACACCTGTTGATCCACCAGCAACGGATGGACATCGTACCGTAGAGCTAACAGCCGGCTATTCCGCCACAAGGAGAAAGTATACTATGCGTAGGAAATGAGATCGTGGTTTGAAGGGGAAGGATAAAGAAACTCAAAACACAAAAGACACCGAGGTTGGCTCCTAGCCATGACAGCAGGTGTATCCAGCCGAACGTGTTCATCGTCTTTCGAATCACATCCATAGAGCAGAGAGGCCTCAATCGAGGTCAAACCGAGTCCTCTTGACTGAACCATCGCTTGGCCAACCCTTCTCTTTTTTCATCCACACCCCCGGTGCGCAAACAATGCACGTCGCGGGAGTCGGTGTGCTGGCATGCGTAACATGTGGCCCAACCATGGGAGCTTGGTGTGTGATTTAACGATGCTGAGCGCTTCCCTTCCTGTTACAAGGCCATAAACAAGGCGTCAAACATGCTCATTGCTCACACGGTGTTCCCATCAGATATGAGGCAAATTGCAAAGGCCAATCTAATGGGTCAGGTTTCACAACCATACAGCAAGGTCGAACGTACGGTTGCATTGTACACTCCACTCTTCAGGGTAAGAGCGATGTCGCGCTGATACCAAGGGTGGCGAAGGTTAGCAAAAGCGCCTCGTGCTTTTACTATACTGTTCTTGGTCTCGTTTTCAACTTCAACGGCGCTAACACAACTGCCCAGGTAGTTGATATTTTTAAACGAGATATAGTTGAGCTCACCAATGGTCAACGCAGGAGGCGGTTCAGGCTAATCTTGGAGGAACGCTTTGCACTTCGAGGGTGCAAAGCATAGCCCGACACGGCTGACATCTAGTCCAAATTTATCCATCGCCGCTTGGCACGTTTGGGAGCTGTCACAGATTAGAGTAATGTTGTCATCATACCCCAAGAAGTCGTTCGCCTGGGAGCAGCTACACACCTATGTCGTGTCCTGTGAACTCAATCCCCGTTTTATCCAACTTCACAGTTCGACCTTGCCTTCTACTTCTGAGCGAGGAGGATCCACAAGGATAGTCCAGGGAGCAGGGCGATCATTGACCGGTGAGGAATCTAACAATTTCGGCCAATTAAATTGCCTTTCGATGTGCTCAACTTAATGCTCCAGGCGCCACAAATAGTTTCATTGACACCAGGTCTCCTGCTGCCCGTTTCTCGTATCAAACGGAATAAGGCGGTTGATGTGGTATCTGTGTTACATTTTTGCAGTTGGTCTGTAAGTGTGCCTACGTGTTGAGTCTCTTGGATTTCAAGGGTTGTTTGTTGATTAATATCCCCGTTGTAGCTGCGCCTAATCTGAATGTTGACAAGATGCCTACCTGTCTATTACCCACCACCTCGTCTATACTGGATCCAGGAGACAGTTGGTTGTTACCGGGGGGGGGGGACGGGGTGCGCGGTTCTCGTGACGATGCTAGGCTCAAAGAGTGGCTCCATGCGTCCAGTGTGAAACTGCCTACAACTCAGTCGCGGTCTTGTGTAATTCTTGTACGCATGATTTCCCAAGTAGGCTTCTGCCCTGTCTGTTGAAGGGGTGTAGGCCGGCACTGTTCATGAGAAGTGACTCCCGTCCACATGCTTCCCGGTCTTATTCCCTCGTTTTTACACTGGATATGGGGTGTGTGGGTGGTGTAACTCAAGCCACCCATGGTCCCTCTGTAGGCGCAGGCGTCCTGTGGCTGTCCCCGTGGAGGCCGCAATGACAAGCAAGTCCGGAACCGGATGTCGCCAACCATATATGCAGATTGCAGTTAGAACCATAGCAGAAAACGACGTTTTTTGGTTTTGCATACGCCATTGTGTATTTTTTATTATTCGGTCAGATATAGACTAGCGTATGATGCGGCTGAACAAAACGCGCCACCGATGCCTGTTGCGGTCCATAACATCTAGCGTTCTCAATCAATGGGGGTCAGAGTCACGTGGTCCGTCTTCTGGAAAGCAGGCAAACCTGTCCGACGTAAGACACTGGTAGGAAGTAAAACTTAAAGTGGCTCGCATAATGTGAATATCACAAGTCGACAGGCTACATGGGATTCATACACCTCTAGGGTAACTGACGTTGAAATAACAGCAACCACGGATGGCTGTTAAGTGCGCATTTTGATGTTTATATGGGATTCTGTGCGGATCTCATTAGGATGGAGTTTGGCCCATAAACTAACTAGGTGTCGAGCAGTCCTAACGCAACGAAGAGCACATCAACAGATACGCGAATGCTACGCTTTTTGGTAATGGGTCGTACTAGAGCGCCTAGTTGTACTTATCCGCATATTCAGAATGGTGGCTATAAGAAATATGCCAACGGAAACATGCTCGTGAAAATTCACAGATCTAATCCCATTTACACAACAAGCGCGTCGAACAGATGCATATAGTCAACAATCGTTGTGACCAATGTTGCCAGCCGACAATCTCCACATCCCAGATCCGAGTCGTAACTCTGTCATCTATCTCTACTTGTCGAATGCAAATAACTACCAAACAGGTAGGAGGTGCAGTGTTTTGAGCGGATTACATCGAAGACTTCCCCTGTGAATCAATTTAACACGGATTTCTTTCCCAAGCAGCGTGGTAGGGGACGCATCGTTGTGTGTGTACCCAGGTGTATTTATCCTCAGCAGTACATCGTCGATTGCGAATGCATTGAAGTGCCAAAACGGTTTCGCACTACACCGATTAATTTCGTTGAATCAACGACTCGTATGACTCGCACGGTAGTACGGGATTGCAATATGTTTTCTAATATGAGAAAACAAGTGACTTTAAGTCGATAGCAAAGAGAAGACACTAAAGGGCTGGCTGATATATTATCGTGCAGTGGATGAAAAGAGTCATTTATAACTTTATGAGAGAAATTGATGCACCCGTCGAGATGCTACTGATAGAACAACCATCTAGACAGTTAATCTGAACCAACACATCATGCAAGTAAGATGTGATTATTCTGAAGAACAGTGTGGTTCATGAGGAAGAATGTAAGTGGTCGTGAAATTGAAAATGAACTCGCGGAGTCGACGGATGCAAAAGAAAAACCTTAATTAATGGAACATCTCTCCAGTGTGCCTACAGCGCATCAGCACGAAACAGATAGCATACTGAGGCGATTAAAAGTGTGTAGAACAAGGGACCTATTATAGTGCAGACATAATAGGGTTTTGTGGCGATGGAATGTTTTTGTGAAAACTTACCGTGGTGTAGAACATTTTTGATTGCAAACTGAGACCTTCAGAGCGCTGCACAAGATCATCCAGTTTTTCGCCTCTACTCAGAAGAGACTCGAGTGTGTTGTGCTGAAACGCGGGGCAATCGGGTGGGGAACAACGAACAGCAATGTTAGATAAGTTTCTTGCTACTACATCTTAGACCAACCAAAGGTAGGAAAGAATAAAGAAAGCAAGGAAAAGATTAAATAGCTTTCGGAGCAAATCGCACGTGTGGTAGCCACGAAGAACACAGTGACCGTGGTCACAAAATGTTCTAGAATGATGAACGAGAAACAGGCCACCATGTCATACTGTATAGTTTAAGAAATTACATCCGAACTCCTGCAGGAACCAAATGCCAGTTGAATGAAACATGCATTGAGGCAGGCACGCGATGCCGATAAACCAAGCGATGTGGTTAACTTTATCAACTATTCCAAATGTCAGAAATCGAAAGGATAAGGCTTCCTACAAGTTGCCATTTTCAAGCATTTGATATATATATATATATATATATATATATATATATATATATGTATATATATATATATATATATATATGTATAGATCGATGGCGGAGAAATCGGAAACATCTTCCTCCTGAAATTCGGTTAAAGGTTGCAAACGCTTTGCACAGCTCAAATATTAAAGCAACTGAAGCGTCAAGCAGACCGACGAATGTACAGAAGCGTAACTTGACTGCTGCTTTAAGTGACTCTGACATAGGTCTAAACGAAAGTTGGGACGCACCTTGGCCGAATCAAGTTGCAAACGAGGTATCATTATCCCATCAAAAAACGAGTAACTGCCGACCTCCTATCGGTCAGCATTCTCCCACACGCGACCTCTTCACCCCTCTGTGGACTCCTAGAGACCGAGAAACTAGCATGCTTTCTAACAAACTGGCCGAACTGAAAGATCTCCAAGCTTCCGGGTCATATGATGTCATTGGTATCACCGAGACGTGGTTGCACATGGGAATGACGGACGCTGAAGTATCGCTACCGAGCATGTCGCTGATCCGGAACGACAAGCTCACAAAAGGAGGATGGGTAATCCTGTATTACCGAAACGACTTACAGTGCGAAGCCGTGGAGGATTCAGACTCGCAGTTCCCCGACTCTCTTTGGTGCCGGTTGCAGTTAAAAGGCAGGGACGCTTGCCTTATTATCTTGGTGTACCGCGCCTCTAACTCAACACCCGAAACCGACTACCACCTAGCAGCTGCTTTAAGATGCAGTCTACAGCAAAAGTACACTCACATTCTTATCATGGGTGATTTCAACGTATATTGTTTAGTAACTCCCGTCACGATCGGAGAACAATTCAAAACCGATATATAATATCTAGTGACTACTGTTCCTCTTTACAATCACATCACTTTGCCCACTCGGTTCAGAACTGGCAACAGGCCATTTGTGCTGGATCTTGTGCTTACCAACGAGGAGTATATGATTGACGTGTTGGTTTTAGACTGCCCGTTGGGTCGCAGTGCCCACGCTCAGTTATAACTTAGTCTGCTATGCAGAATATCTGAATGAGAACGATGAGACTGTGCGAACCATCACAAGCCACGATCGATTAGCCCAGCTTGTCAGCGCCACAACTTGGTCGTTCCTCGAAGAACCCCCGGAAGTCGCCTGGCTCGAGTTCGCCAAAAAAATTCAGTCAGCTGATTGCAGACTTTACAGATAAAAGTTTGCTTAAGTGTAAATCAGTTTTTTACGTTAGGAGCATAACTCGAAAATGCATGACAGTACGCAACGCAGCATGGCGAGTGTACAGAGAAGCTCCAGCACCAAAAACTTGGGACAACTACGTAGCCCAACGTAACCACTGCACTCAACTGTTAAGAGAAGACAGCCGCCTATCAGAAGAACATCGCAAAAACCTTCCGTGCTAACCACAAACTGCTGTACAAGCACGTTAATAGCCTACGAAAGGTGAGGCAAGGATTTCTTCCACTCACGACGGCTGATGGCCCAACGAGAACGGCTGTGGAAGCAGCAAACGCGCTGCAGATGCAATACACCCCCAAGTTTCAAAAGGTTTTGCCACCAAGCGATCTACTAAGCTTTGTCTTCTCCTTGCCAGGACTAACCCACATCACTTTTACCGCGGAGTCTGTATTGCAAAAGCTGACGTCCCTACGCAAACACAGCTCGCCTGGTGTAGACACCATACATCCAGAGGCACTGGAAGCAGCAGCAAGCCAACTGGCAAGACCTTTAACTCAGTTTTTCCAGCGCTGCTTAGACCAGAACCAAGTTCCCACCATGTGGAAGTTTGGAATAATAACCCCGATTCACAAAAGTGGAAGCAGAACTGATCCCTTCAACTACCGCCAAGTATCCCTTCTTCCTATACTCTCCATGATCATGGAATCCATAGTTGCCGATGCAATGGTGTGCTATCTGGAAAACTGCAACATCACCACACCTGAGCAGCACGGTTTCCGTCGCCAGCGCTCATGTACAACGAATTTAGTAATTGCACGCAGTAGTTGGACCGATGCAGCTGACGCTGGAGAAGGTGTTGATGTGATTTGCCTGGATTTTTCCAAGGCTTTCGATCGTCTAGATCATCGGATACTACTATCCAAGCTGCAGCATTACGGGATCGGCGACCCTCCTTTAAGCTGGATCGCCAACTTTCTACTTTAACCGCAATTAGTGGTCAAAGTTCAGAGCTCTTTATCGAACCCCACACAAATTGAGTGTGGTGTGACGCAAGGCTCAGTTCTAGGTCCACGTTTGGTTTTGGTGTTCATTAATGACCTTGCACAGGGAATCGCCTCAAACTTCCTAATGTTTGCCGATGATATCAAGATCTGGCGCAGGATCCAGGCAAACGCCGACCAACATGTGCTTCAGAGTGATTTAGATACGGTGTATCAATGGTCGACCCAAAACTTATTGCATTTCAACGTCAGTAAATGCAATGTGCTTTCCATCCGACATCAGGGCAGCTACTCATACCGGCTCGGAACGAATATACTACAACAATCAACTCGCAACGATTGGGGGTGTTCAATGGAAGCTATCGCAGACTACGAGGCGACCTGATTATGGCGTACTTGATTCTGCGAGACCCACATCATGTGTGCCGCCCTTTACTGCAACTCGCAGAACAACACAGTCGTCTAGAGTGCCGCATAAATTTCTTTTCTATCCGTGTCTTTCACCCGTGGAATGCTCTCCCAGAATCGGTCGTCTCTGCACCGACACTAACAGTTATTAAAAGACGGTTGGGTGATGTACTCATCCACTTACACTTTGTTACTTAACACTACATCACCCTACACCTGGAGTATACCATGGAATTATTTGTTGTTAACTGTGGGTGCTGTGAATCTAAGAGGATCGCAGGACTACAGCGAAGCAAACAATAAGTCCTCATTTCCATATTTAAATTATTAACTATTTTATTATCCTTATCATCATTATTATGTTGATATCCTCACCAACTGTTCAACGGGACTTGTAAAGCAACGCTTCTTAACCCGTATAAATTCATTGTCCATATCCAATAAAAAGAACCATAGTCCGATTACCGTAAGCATTTCGCCAAGATAGGTGAGAAAAACGATAACAATAATATTAATACAGGTGCCAGGCTATAAGGTTGTCCAAAAGTTCAGTCATCAGTTCCATTGTAATGGGAAGCGGTACAGGTATGTTGTTCATCCTTTGTTGAAGAGAATAAAAGGAAGGCATCAGCAGTACGTAGGCACATCGTACCGGCGCATCGTTGCCATGTGACCATCGCTAGTGACGCGCGGCCCGAGTTTACTGGAAGGTCACTCGCACTTACGCAAATTCGAGTCGGTGACCCTTTGGTTACATGGCAGGTGTCTCGTCTTTTTGACCATCAACGAACGAGTCGTCCCGCACACTCTGGGTTTATCTATTGCGGAGTCCACAACATCGCACTATGTTGAACGAATATTCTAGTTGCGTGGGTCAGCAGGCTAGGTCCGCGTGCACCGTTCAATTGCGTTAGCGACCATCGTTTGCTACTTTCAATATTCTGGCTGGAATATAGATCGGGTCACAGGCAGCCTTTACATGTCAATACTGACACGAGTTGTTATACCGAGACCTGTTTATAGGATTCCAGCACGATGTTACGACTGGCGTCATTGTCCGCAAGTTCTGCTAGCACATTACACCTACGTAGAGACGTGATTGCCGGCGCAGTAGTCACGCTAAAAACGACTGCAAAAGCAGTGCAACTCCACTGGATACCAATTTGGGGGGCATATGACGCCAAGTTGTCTCTAGAGTAAGGCTGATAATGCCGAAAAGCTGTCTCGCCAATGCCGCCTGATCTTCACAGATAACCAGCTGTTTGTAACCGTGTGCTGTTTTTAAAATGTGGGCACCATGGCCCTGAATGTCTGCTAACGGTATATGGTTTTCAGATTAGACCTCTTTCTCCTTCCCTACTTATTGTTCTTCATTCTCTAGGTCGTTCTTACTGTACGGCAACGAAGCATTGAATCATTGATGTACCTATGATTGACGCTTATGATGATGACCCACCTCCATCCCTTGACTGAATGGTCAAAACCACGAGGATGCGGGGTGAGTTCCAGTTAGGGAATTGGAATGAAAGGTGAAACGGAACCCGACAAACACAGTCTTGGAAAACTAAAAACTAGAAGTACTTGCGCATGCTTTTCAACCGTAATATAGTACCCACCTAAAGCCACGGCCAGCTGCATGTACAGTTTGGTGGCCTTGTATTCTACCTACTAAAGGTTGTGAGTTTGGCGGTAGCTGACCGTTAAACAATGGCTGTGCTCCCCTGCGATCTGAGACAACCAATGGTGCTTGTGTACTATGTCGATCGAACTCAGCTTACAGATCGAAGGCCGTTCTAGGGGAGAAGAGCCATCAGCCTCTCTTTAACTACCGAAGAACCCGCGATTGGTATGGTCGACTCCGAGAGCACTAGGAAGTCATTGTTCGTCTTGTAGTACACGCAGTGCGAAGTAAATCTCTGCCATTTCGATCACTAGGACTGCATCCGAGGCGGAGAGTTCCAGTGCTACTCTCTGGAGTATCAGCAGATAGCAGCACCGAAGCTCTTTACTCGGCAAGTGTTATCTGGTGCACCCCAACGGATGACATAGGCGTGCAAACTATCACGCGACGTTAAGATCTGGCCTCGTCGCAAGCACCACACTGCAATGGCTCATCTGCCTTGAGAAAATAGAATCATTGGGCCATGAGTTGTTACCTTTTTCTGCAGAAGAAACGTGGATCACATGTGTATGGTCTGTCGACTGTCAGAACAGACACAATGACTGCCTTCTAGGAGTTAGAAGCCGTTTTACTGTGGTTTACTGCATCTGCCCATTAAGCTGCCCTTTAAAAAGCACGCCAAAATCGTTTTGTATTCTAGTGTCCGTAGACACACTCAGGGACAAATGGGGGTCTACGGGAAAACTCATCGGTTCAAAACAAATGGGGTGCGTCAGCAATGCTACATCTCTTGCCTTAACATCGGGATTGAAACAGTCATGACTGACCGTCCTATCTGCTCCATATGAAGTGGAAATTCTGTCGCTGGCAGGTTATTAAGCGCGTAATTCAGATCAGTTCAGTTGAATAACTATGATCCGAGCAAGAAAATGTGATGGATCAAGTTGCAACGATTCACATCGCAAGAATAAAAATAACAACGGAAATATAGTGGGGTTGAGGGCAAATAGAATGTAAAGAAAATGGAAACAAGTAGAAAGTGCGTTAAACTAATCCGAATGGAACAAAAATTAACAACCAGATGCAAGAAATCGAATGCAAAAACGCCACTGACTGCACCATGTCTGATGCGGTCTCCAACCATTGATGCGGACCATCCCGAGGCCCCCATCCAGGAATACGGCACGCAGTAGTCTGACCACGTCTATCAGTCAATTTCTTCATACCACGTCATGAACTGGTCACTTCGAAGTTTCGCCCAACTTGGTGCAGCCATGGCGTATACCACATGTCGAGGAAGTCGATCAACGGACATACGGAGAACATGGTCTAGCCAAAGCAAGCGACTAAGATTTAGCAAATATTTTGAATGAGGCACCACAAAGCTTCTTGCAAAACCCAAATGGCGGACCTCAGCATTACTCACCCGGTGTTCCCACAAACGTCTGCAATAGTCCGCAAACACCAGAGGTCAAACACGGCCACGCGATTAATGTCCTCGACGGGAACTCACCAAGTTTCTGACCGGCTTTACCGCAGCGTAATACACCATACCTTTCACCGACAACCTGCTATTCCGCCGTCTCCATAGATGGTTGAGCCTCTGGAAAGCCACATGAGTCCTGCTGATACGCAAAGTAACCTCAGTGATATGACCACCAGAAGTGACACAGCTACCTGGGTAAGTCAACCGATCCACCACTTCAGTAGCTGTTCCGTGATAGCTAGGACCGGAGGTGTATCGGTCCAGTCTTGCAGCAGTACTTTGCACTTTGAAGGTCTAAAGCACATGCCGAAGCGTGCAGCGCTACGCATCGCTCTAACCAGTAGCATTTGCATATCCAGTGCGTGCGACCCAGCTATGTCGTCCGCATACTCAAGGTTTGTCAGTCGATCACCTGGCAGAACTTCTACTTCGGTAGGGTTTGTAAGAACCGAGTCATTCATGACCATTTAGATCCCAAAGTTGAAGAGGAAATGAGATACAGGACAACCATAGCGAACCCCACATGTCGTGCGGAACTCAGGAAACAGTTTCCCGTATACCGTTACACGTCCCCAGGAGTCAGAGTAGAGTGCATAACAGAGAGGAATTTAGCCGGCACGCCCTTCTTGTATAGGCAGTGCCACAAGTTGGCGCGGTCAAGAGAGTCGAAGGCGGCTTTCAAGTCAAGGCAAACCACCATAGTCGGTCATCTGTATGGTGTCACTGCTCTAACTCTTGGCGAAGAGCTTTCAGTGAATCGGTTTTCACGGCGACCATTAAGTCGTCGGAGAATGATACCCATGATAAGCACGAAGACTGATAGTCGCCAGTCCGAAGGCACCTCTTCAGTGTCCAAAATCTTGTTACATAGAGAAACTAGTCCAGCGGACAAATAATCACCACCATCTTTCAGCAAAGATGGAGGAAGGTCGTCGGATCCAGGAGCTGTGCTTCGTTTCAACACAGAAAGCTCATGTCGAATCACTTCCAAGGTGGGTGTGACACCTACTTCCCATGTCGGCTCAGGCGATTCGGCAAGCAACAGTGTCGCAGCAGGCCTGCTGAACTGCTCTTCAAAATGTTCCGCCCAAGAAGATAGTCGGGGATGCTGAGAATGCATTAACTGTCAGTCTCACCAACTGATTGCTTTCTCGGACCTGTGTTCCGAGTGAGCTGGAGCAGCACTCGGCTGTTCTGAACAGCAGTAGCATCCTCCATCTCATGGGTCATTGCTATCCATCAACGTTCCCGGTCGATTCGAAGATTCCTTGTCAGACGTCGTTTCAGGGAGGTACGGACATTCTGAAACTCAGTACCCATTGGAATCTGTTTCCGTGCTTCGATCAAGCTGATCGACGCCCCAGAGATCCATCCGACGTGTCAAGTTGGGTGCACAGCAAGTGTCAAAGACGTTCACGTGGCACAGTTGATACGATCCCAGTCGGCGTTCGATTCACCAACCCCCTTCATCACTGACATTTGGCGGGCCTGCTCGTTGAACTGCAGACTGCGAGTTCAAGCTACAGTCAATATTAGAAGATGGACGGTTCTTTGAAACGGGTAGAGTAAGCACCAGGCCTGCGCGCATTAGAACATTGTCGGAATCCAAACACGTGCTCCCAATTGACCGACTAATGTGCGCCACCTGTAGCTAATAGCAATATGGTCAAATCAGGTCCAGGTCACTGAGGAATTCGTAAGCGCCGGGGTGAACAGACGAAAAGGTATCTCTTTCGATCAGACTTGACTATATTTAAGCGCCTCGGGATATTTTGGCAATGGGGGCGGCGCACATTCAGATTACAAAACACTGCTAAAAGACGGCCGATAAACCATCAGTCATCACTGACATCGACTGGGTGGTTCGTTTACCTGGACAGCTGTCTCCTCTGACGGTCAAGCAACCGGAGGTTACGGTACGTGTAGATTAGACCAGTGTAAGGTTTCGAGGATTCAAAAATCTAGTGTGAAGGATTAGTTTAGTGGTCAGCGGTAGAGTGCATAGCGCTTCGGTGAATCCAGTGTGACTCTGCCGACTGGATAGATGGCCAATAAATGTTGATAACATTAACAGATTGGTTGGATCTGTTGCTTGACATCGACGAAACATTGCCGATACCTGGTTCATTACCTCAAATGTCTACAGCCTGTTGCCAGGTAAAAGCCGCTGGAGCACTACTAGGCCATTGCTTCGCTTAAACCTCTACGATGTCTTGGTCAGGTGTTTCATATGTCCGCTAACCACCAGTACTCTGGCGTATGTTGGCGACCATTACTGTGCGGAACCCGACGAAACGCCACCGACAGAGTGGAAAAAGATATGAAAAATTGCTTGAGGGACTTAGGCTCGGACATGCTGTGTTCCTGGATGGGGTCTAGTGGATTGGCCAGGCCAGTCGTTGGCAATTCTTCCTTACACAACGCGGTTGTTGAGTCGGTGACACAATTTGATTAGGTCTATACCTTCTACGCGTCAGCTTTTCCATTCATTCCTTTCAAGTTCTGTCTTCATCTGCTTGTACTGTACCCTCAATTTCCCCTACTGTTGATACTAACGTTTGTTGTTGTGGCGATGTGGCTCTGATAACTAGGTCCACTGTACTTCAACGTACTGATTATAGTTAACCAATTGTACTGAGATTACATTGGTCTGTTTACTGCTCGGAGGTCTTGTTCCAAGCACACCGAAGTCAGTTATAATTAAGATTCGACTTATTCGCGTCGTTCGTCAATGACAGTCGGTGTCTCCATCTAACCCGGAACTGGTACCTCATGGATATCGATTATGTGTAGCTAGTGAGCAGCTTAGCTGGGGGAGTCAGTATAATCTGGGCCTGTGCTCGGTGACGGGTAGTATTCGAAATTAATTTCAAGTTGGCTATGCTGAATTCCTAGATTAAATGCTTACGCTGCAACGCCAAGCTACCAAGAACTAAAATACTGAGCACCCAATTCAGTGAAACAAACACGGACTTAAAATGGCTTCTAGACAGTGAATGATGACAGTAGACAGCGATCACAACATTCGGATTTTCTGTGTTCGAGTGAAAGGTGAGGGTTGCTACTATCGGTTAGCGTTACTAACTTCATCGAAGCTAACAGTTTGAATTGGAGGAACCAGAAGTAGAACGGAGACAATAAGTAAAATATAGGGCCATATGCAACGACTAGAAGAGCAAAAACAACATGTAGATAACTCACCAAGATCACCTTCGTCTCATCTAGCTCGCTGTGCAAGCGCATCATGCTATCAGCCTCCGCGGGATTCTGTGGGTCAAATCAATTAGTCTCTTGAAACTAACCTGATATCGATGTAGGAGCTCATCTAATTTCTTGCAAGCCACCGATCTGAAAGCGGAGGGTTTTCAAATGAGAAATTAGACTGCTCGACATAAACAAATGGCTCGTAGGTCGGAACGTAAGAAAAGTGTTGTCAGAAAACGGCGAACGAAGCCTAGTGCAGAGAACCACATGAGGGGTGCGCTCTCATTGTGTGATGGGGCAAGGCGCATAACAATTGGGGGACTGATATGAGGCGAATATTTGAAAGTTAAACTGAATTAATTCGCAAATAATGCTCATAGACGATACAGTCAAAATAAGAACTAAAGGTTGCGAAGAGCTCTCTTTCCAATACTTCTCATCAGGCAAATACAGTTATAAGAATGCAAAAACAACACAACGCAGTAAGCCAGCGAAGGCTGATTTAGTCTATTAAAACAGCAGTAATTTCGCGATTTGATCGAATTCTACGTCCAAAGTAGTGCCTTGAAATTGGTATACGCATAACCACAATATCGCAGCACGCAAAAGCATGATTCACCAACAACAAGCTTGGCATACAGTGCAACCGTAGATGAGATAGAACTGTCCAAGGCCTGAAAGATGGTGCCGGGCGGTGGTCGTCAGGATTCCCATGAGGGTTCGTTAGACCATTAGCCACGTCAGTTGAACACCACGCTGTTTGGACTGATTGCCGTATAAACAAAGATCTAAAGATGACGGCTCGAGCACCGACAGTACAGATGACTGAGATTTGTTTTAAGAACATTTTCGGCTGTTCATTCTATCAGATTCAGAAAAGCGCGCTGGACGACCTTGTCTACGGAACTCGTCGATAGTGCGCACCATCCTCGATGAGGCGTCCTATTTGCGTAGACAGTCGAGGATGAGCTGAACAATGCGGCAACCGGTTAGCTGCCCATTTCATCGATAGATCATACTTGAGGCGCTGTGCCATTAATGTTCATTGTCCCGTGAAAGCTATGAACTGAACCTCAACTACAGAGGGTGAACAGGCTATGGTGGCCAGATCAGGAGGGTGTTATGACAATCCGATGCTTTTCCATGTATGTCGGGAAATAGTGGTATTCCGCATCCCTTCGGAAATGAAGATGAATTATCTGAACGTCAACTATGAGCTATGCAAACCACAATGATTGCATTGTGATGCAATTGCGACATCATACACAACTTGCATTTTCAATTGTGTGACTGGGAACACTAGTAGTAACCGATACAGTCGCATCTTAAAGCCACAGAGAAACAATTCGATTAGAGAACCAAGATATGTGAGAGGATCTGTTTTGATCCTTGGTATCAGTGAATCACTAAGACGATGAGTTCTTGTTAAGTAACCTGAAATAAAAACCATAAAGCAAGAGGGGGAAACAATCCTGACGGCGGAATTCCACAATTAGATGCTGATTTGCAGTAGGATGCTTTACGGAACGGGCCGCAGAATGTGCGTGCTAAAAAAATAAAAACGAGGGGAAAGTGGTTTCATGGCTTGCAGCCTATCGTGCAAGCTCAGGAATTGAGGCTTAAGAAACCAGAACGGAGTTCGTGAAAAAATTAAAATGAAGCCGTAGAGAGATAACAACTTACCCTTCTTGTAAGGTTTGCCAAGTGTTAGCAGGGACTTCGGCAGCGAAATCGTCGGTAGCCTGATAAGGATGAATAACAAGGCAGACAGATCACCATCTGTGAACAGGAACCAGTGTCATTTATGATTTATGGCTTTCCAGAAGTGTACTCATTCGTGGTAGTGTAGTCGTCCAAATGCAAGAGCGCCGCTTACTTCGTGTCTACCCCATATCCACTAAGCGCTGGTATGAGCAAAATGGGCACCCTGATGGAAGAAACGACAAGTGTTAATACAAATCAGTTGTTCGGCGACTTTTTCACACCTATCGAGAAGTAGTGAACTCGCTGTTTTACCTTTGCAACCGATTAGATATAGCGCCAGCAAACAATACACTCCGACGCAGCGCATTCTTTTTGAGTTCAACGAACATAGTAGTACGGCACCAGGGTAAGAAAGGTTTTTCCTGAACACCAATAGTCAAATAAGCCGCAATGCTAATGTCTTCGGTGGAATCACGGCGTTGTACGCCCTACATTTGATCAAAAAACTAGTATTCCGCCGTCACCATGAATGACTCGAACCGTGAATACGCATGTAGGCCAGGCACGCGGCGCCTTCGGTTGTTTAACTACCGGAGCTGCCCAGACAAGTGAACTGAGTGGCGGCGTCGAGTGGTTGTTCAGCGCTGGTAATAACCGGTGGTCGGTCGGCTGATCCTGCAGTAGTATTCTGGGTACCAAGCACATACAAATACGTGGACCGCTTTTTGACGGCTTACTCACTAGCGGCTGTGCGGAGGTAGATGCGATTCCAAAAAGCTATATTGCTGTCGTCAGTTAGACATTACACCGAATGTGTATCACAAAACAGCCCGGACCGAACCATCCACGACTCTATTGTTCGAACACAATGTTGGAACCAGACGGGTGTGGGAAACGATTGATAAAATGTTGATCTGGTCAGTCTAGGTTTATATGGATTTGGGATCGAGACGATGCGATGAGAAGGGTGTTCCTCTATAATGCTTGGTGTAAAGTGAGGACAGTAAATTTAAGTGTAATTCACGGAAACATTAAGGTATGTATATGCATGGAGACCACATTCTGAACAACAACTAAAAGGTCAGAATGAGATCGATTGTTTGAAGCAAACGTTAAGACGAGGAAACAACACGTTGGTCGCCTGCAGATGTAAATGAAGACCCAATGTGGAGCACATCATTCAGGCCTGCCAAACCTTGCAAGAACGTGACCTGGCTTCACTCGAATCTCCAAAACAAAAAGCAGCTAAGCGTGTAAACAGATTGTTCCACCTAGAATGCCGAATGCGACTGAAAGCCCTTGAAGTTTATGGTGGAATATATCATCGTCCTTGGGGTGACCAAATCTTGACCTATCAGATTTTATGAAACCCCAGTCACTTTTCCCGTCACCTTCAGAGGCTTAGCCACAACAGCAACCTGTGATGCCGCCAGCTTCAGCTGGGCGGGTCGGGTTTACCCCCTTCCAGCAAATAGTTCGGCGGCAGTACTCCAGGACGTGGTGCGTCTTCGCCTGGCAAGCGTTCTCACTGTACAAAGTCACATATGTCTGTATAACAACACTGTGGCGTGGCCGATGTGACTCGCCACTAAGCAAAGTCACTTCTCTTTGTTTCGCCACGGTGGAGCATTGCACTCCAGCAAGTATGTGCTGACGTCATGGGGAGGATTGGGCCCCTGTTTGGTAACCGGCCAGAAGAAAGGCATATGAACCGAGTAATCGGTCACCGGTTCCTAATGGATGCGATTTACTTAATAATCCCCGCAGCCTTGCGCGTAGACTATTTAGCCAAAGGCCTAGTCTAATTCGGCTTGGGCAACCAAGTGGTAACACGCCCACTGACAAAACTATGGACCGTTCTTCTGCCATATCGCGATTAACTATATTTGCTTCCGCTGCTTACACACTTTCACATGCCACCCGTCCATTCGTTACCAAACAATTTTACCCCTTGCCAGCTGACTCCTGTTTCCATGATTCTACTCCTGATGGTTTCATCAACGACCACAGATCTTGCCCAGTAGCCCTACTTCGGCCTCGAACTTCGTTCAGTCTGTATCACAGTCAGTCTAACGGAAAAGCAGAGGCAGCGGTCAAACAAGCCAAGAGGCTGTTGTCGAAAGCCAGAACCACTCGTGAGGATCCGCATCTAATATGGTTGTAGATTCGCAATACGCCATTACCGAACACCGGTCTCAGTCCAGCGCAACGTTTGTACAGCAGAAGGACAAGAACACTAATGCCTGCGTCTGCAGAACTCTTGCACTCTGTCTTGCCATTAGATGAGCAACTGCAAAGGAGCTTAAGAAAACAGATGGCAGATCAGAAACGGTATTACGACCGCGGGACCCGGGCGCTACCGGAGCTATCAGTAAATGATGAAGTGTAGATCCAACCAATACCGGGTGTCAACAAACGATGGAAGGTGTGACCGCTAAGGTTGAAGTAAGATCCTATGAAGTCAGTCCCGGAGGTAGGGTAATCAGAAGAAACCGAGTGCAGCTGAGGCGACACTGGGAACGAGAAGGTGAAACTGCAGCAAAACACTTGACGCCTTACGGAGAGGTCACAACGACTGAGGCATAAAAGACGACGCGGAGCGGAAGAGCATACGGAATCTTCTGCGACACCTGGGCAGCTGATCCCGAAAAAGAGAAGGATGTGATAGGATTGTGCAAGCAAGCGGCAAGTGTGCCGCGAGCGAAAAAAGCAGTTGATTGGATACCTGCGCATATTTCGTCTATGCGCCGATTGGTTCGCTGGAGTGGGTTTGTTTAACCGATTCAAAAGAAGAATCTCACGAGTACATCAGCGTCGTTAATTATGGAAATGGCTTAGTTATTTATACCGAGGTTCCTCATGCTTGTCAGGCTGCCAATTTTGCTGAGCTCGCTTTGCCGAATAAACCGCTTGTCCCTGAAGGACCGAGTACCGCGACATTTAACACTCTCCGTTCGAAGCACTGCAGGTGGGAACTCGCTTTGCATCCGGTACCACAGATCTGTAATAGTGTTCGCGCGTGGTGCAGGGCGTTCGCAAGTGAAATAGCGGCATTAATATGGGGAAGTCACCGAGATGTAATATGCCGTAGGTCACAATGAGATCGACTCAAACCTGATTACAGAACAAAGCGTAGAGTTCTCGTTTTTTGCAGTAGTCTTCATACGGTAATCCTAGTAAACCAGTAATAAGCGTGGAAGCGATGTGTTGGACCCACTTGGTCTCCTGTGCTTCACCTCAGGTAATTTGACAGCAGGCGGGGAAGCCATACTCGAGTATTTGTCTTATGACGGAAGAGAAGAGACGAGTGGCGACCTCTGCAGACCAAGTACAAAAGCTGTGTTTGAGTGCCCATAGCGTGTGCAGTCCGTTACGATATAACCATCTTGTGTAATCCATGGACTTCGACTTGCTGCGCGAGAGTACACCTAGGTCCTTCAAGGAAGGCATGGGGATGTAGCAATTAGCCGTCAATTGGGTAAATTCTGCTCTCACCACCCTTCCTCATACTCATCAATACCGATTTGCTTGGGTAGACCGGAAGGCGGACTTCGGCAAACTACACGGAGGCGCAGTGGAAGTCTTGCTGAAGTATGTCGCAGTAGTATCGGGTGCTAGTCACTCTCCACATCTTCAGAACATCCGCAAACAAAGCATCCGGCGACCAAAGAAGCTGAGGCAGATCATCGGTGAAGATTAAGAACGGAGTGGGCCCTGCACCGGACCGTGGAGTACTCCACTAGCAGAGGGATACCAGTCAGATAGATGGCCATCGACTTGTACTCTATACGTTCGCTCAAATGGAAAGTCAGGGATCCACTGGTGCAGTCAATCATCATCATTATACACGTTAGCTAGAGGTGGGAAGCACCTCAGTAACTGTGCCGCAATAAATAAAAGAAAAAAGAGGAAAATGCAACAGATGCAAGCCAGTTGAGGTACTGGTAACGGATGGGCATGGTTCCGGTAAGCTACCAGTCGGCTACTATGCAGCAAAAAATTACTATGCAAAATTATGTAGTGCTAAATAGTGAGATTGTAGTTGGAGGGGGAGGCTGAGAGGGATGGGGTGGGACAAAGAGACAGCGTGAACGTCATTGAGGTCGGCTCCTAGCCATGTGAGCAAGTGTATCCAGCCAGACGTGTTCACCGTCTTTCGGACCCCAACCAGGGAGCCGAGACGTTCCAACTGAGGCCAGCTTCAAAGTAAGGACTTTCATTCCTCTCGACCAAGTCATCGCTCGGCAAACCCTCCTCTGCTTCCATCCACACCCCCGGCGCGCAAACAACGCACGTCGCGGGAGTCCGTAATCTAGCATGCATAACACGTGGCCGAGCCATCGTAGCCTGGTGCGTGAAATAACGGTGCTGAGTGATTCATTTCTTTTTCCTGTGCCGTAAACAAAGTGTCGAACAGGCTCGTTGCTCACGTGGTGTTCCCACCAGATGTGAACCAAACTGCGAAAGCACCGGTGGTCGAACGTAACTAGCCTCTTTATGTCCGCTGATCTAAGGGGCCAGGTTTCACAACCGTACAGTAGGGTCGAACGTACCGCTGCATTGTATACTCTACCTTTCAGACAGAGAGTGATGTCGCGCCAGAGCCATAAGTGGCAT